CGGCCCTGCCCCTCGCACAGGTCCCCTCGCCCCGCCCCTCGCCTTCCGGTCCCTTCTTCGGGCTCCCTTCCCCCCTGCTGATCCTCCGGCCCCGCCGCGGGTCTGCAACCCCTGCCCCGCCCGACCCGCGCCGCCCGACGGGACCCGAGGAGTCGAGCTGCGCCCCCTTGCGGCCGGGCTGTGCGGACGTGCGTGGGACGTAAGTGCGCGGCGTCGTGAGCGCGTGAGCTCATAAACCACGGACGGTCTGCACGGCTGCGTACGTGCGCACGTGCGTGGCGTACATACGTGCCCGCGTGCGCTGCGTGCAAAAGGGGCGTCGGGGCGGTCAGGCCGCCGAAGAGTTGCCGAGCGGCGGGGTCTGTCGCCCGCCGCGCGTTCCGCTAGAGGAGGCGGCAGCGGCTCCGGCTCGGCGGCCCCGAGGCGGGCCAGCGGCTCTCTTTCCCCACCGCCGCCCACGGCGCCCCTCGCCCGGGCCGAGATCGCGTGGTTCTGGCGCTGGCAGCCTCGCCGGGCCACGCGGAGGCGTAGTCGGCCCAGGCTGGCGGCGGCTCGCAAGGATCCTGGGTGCAGAGGCCCCCAAGGATGCTGGGTGCAGAGGCCCCCAAGGATGCTGGGTGCAGAGGCCCCCCAGGATCCTGGGTGCAGAGGCCTTGACCAGCCCGGGCCCGAGGCGGCGGGGACCGGCGCCCTCGGCCCTCCCCCGACAGCACCAGTTTCCCCGGCTGTGGGGCTGGGAGTAGGGCTGGGCGCGCCCGAGGCGTCCCTCGTCCCCGGCTCCTGCCAGCGCGCCCCTGCCCCTCTCCCTCTGGGTGTGGGCCCCTGCGACCTGCCCTGCCTGGCGGAAGCCGGCTCGAGCTCCACGCACACCCGCCCCCTCGGCGCCGGCCTCGGTGATCCTGGCTCGGCCCTCGGGCTGTGAGCTCGCCTAGCCCTGAAGCGGGCCCGCGCTGTGGCCCGTGACACCGGGCCGGGCGAGGCGTCCTCCGAATTAAACGCCGGGGAACGGCATGTGGGCCCCGCGGGCCTTAGCCCCGCGACACTGAGGGAGCCTTTGCTCCGCCCCCGCCGCCAGAGGGTCCCGCTGCTGTGGTGAGGGGCACCGGGCCTGGTGCGGGGCGCGTGCGTGTGACCCTGAGACTGGCCGGGGGACCAAAGGTTCAGAGCGGAAGCAGAGGCTGCGAGTGTAGACAGCTCCCTAGGGACTCTGCTTGCAGGGCTTCAGAGAAGGGAAGCAGGGCTGGGGGCTCTCTTGTGCTCCGAGCAGCGACTTTTCCCTGACGAAGGAAGGGCCCGCAGGCAGGGTCCTCGCAGGCTTCCACTCAGGGGAGGGGCCGGAGCGATGCTGAGCGAGCACAGGGAGTGGGCTCCCAAGAGCAGGGCAGGGGTGCTCTTGGCGGGGGCTGCGCACCCCTGAAGCAGGAGGAAGGCAGAAGATCTGGTGCCCAGAAGGCAGGACCGCAGGCGGGGAAAGGAGCCAGCACCAGGCAGCTTTGGTCCTCTCAGGCGTGTCTCTGAGGCTGGGCACGTGTCCTGAAGGCCCTGGGAGATGCTGGAGGTTGAGTTTGTGCACCTGAAGGAAGGACAGGGGGGCACTACCCCGAGTGGAGGGCGTGGCCTCTGGGTGGGGTGCAGGACAGGGGAAGTGGCCCAGGCCCGGTCCTGATGGCGATGAGAGGGGCCACCACACGTGGCTGTCCGTGAGGTGTCCGGGTCTGGGCTGGGTGCCCTGGGTGCCTCGTGTGCCATCCTCACAGCCATGTGGACACGGAGGCTTCTCGAGATGCTGTGACGGGGCTCAGGTTCCAGCTTCAGGCTCATGCCCCTGCCTGCCTGGGGCTGTTGCTCCTGCATGCAGCACAGCGCTGTGCTCCAGCCAGGAGGAGGAGACGCCCTCCCCAGGTACACGAAAGGGGGTAAACACCGGGTTAGGGGTGCAGGAGGTCAGGGCCCATGTCACCTCATCACTCGGCGCCTGGTCCTCCTCACCGTAGAGTGGGCCTCACGGTAGCACGAGCCCTGCCGAGTCCTGTAGGGATTCAATTCCCCGATTCAGAATTGAGCCCCTACCAGTGCCGGGCCCATGTTCTGACTCTCACGCCTTATTTTTGGGGGCTCAGGTGGAGGGCATGTGCTGACAGCGGAGAGAGCCGGGTGGGATGGGTTGGGACACAGACAGAGGGATGTGGGGGAGACACCTGAGGGGGCCTATCCGAGGTCACAGGGTGTTCTGAGAGCAGGCCTGAGGTTGGGTAGCAAGGATTTGGGCTCAGCCAGCCTGGGGCAGGGGCCAGAAAGATCACGGTCTGCAGTGCCGTGGCGGTGGCAGGGCCAGGGATCTGAGAGTGTTGGTGGGAGCGGGGAAGGTAAAGGACAAGAAGGAGCACCTGGGACTGCCCCCCTGTGCTGGAAGAGGGCGAATGCCAGGCCAGCTCTCCACTCTCATCTGGCCGAGGGGCTCTCTCTTGCCGGCTCTCATGAGGCCGAGGGGGCTCTCCTATGCCGGCCCTCCACTCTCATCAGGCCGAGGGGGCTTTCACTGGCCGGCCTTCCACTCTCATCAGCCCGGGGGCTCTCCCGGGCCAGCTCTCCACTCTCATCCGGCCGAGGGGCTCTCCCCGGCTGCCCCTCCACTCTCATGAAGCCGAGGGAGCTCTCCCAGGCCAGCTCTCCACTCTCATCCGGCCGAGGGGGCTCTCCCTGGCCGGCTCTCATGAGGCCGAGGGGGCTTTCACTGGCCGACCTTCCACTCTCATCAGCCCGGGGGCTCTCCCGGGCCTGCTCTCCACTCTCATCAGGCCAAGGGGGCTCTCCCCGGCTGCCCCTCCACTCTCATGAGGCCGAGGGGGCTCTCCTATGCCAGCCCTCCACTCTCATCAGGCCGAGGGGGCTTTCACTGGCCGACCTTCCACTCTCATCAGCCCGGGGGCTCTCCCAGGCCAGCTCTCCACTCTCATCCGGCCAAGGGGCTCTCCCCAGCTACCCCTCCACTCTCATCAGGTCGAGGGGGCTCTCCCAGGCCTGCCCTCCGATCTCATCTGACCGAGAGGGCTCTCCCTGGCTGGCTGTCCACTCTGTTGAGGCTGAGGGGGCTCTCTCAGGCCGGCTCGCCAATCTCATGAGGCCAAGGGGGCTCTCCTTTGCCGGCCTTCCACTCATCGGAGAGAGGGGGCTCTCCCACGCCCGCCCTAACTCTCACGAGGCCGAGGGGGCTCGCCCAGGCCGGCCCTCCACTCTCATCAGGCCGAGGGGCTCTCACTCCTCTGTGTTCCCCTAGGGCTTGCTGACCTCTGCCTAAGCACCGGCCACGCTCTGTCCTGCCGGTGCCTTTGGCTCTCTGCCGCCACCCTCCTCCGTGAGCTCCCCCAGACTCCACAGGATGGACCTGAGTCAGGCCAATCCCAACCCCTTCCCGTGGGCCTGCCCCGGTGCTGGACATCGGTGACCGCGTGGTGACAGGGGGACATCGGTGACCGCGTGGTGACAGGGGCAGCTGAGCACCGAGCTCGCTGGGTTTCGGGCACATGGGGGACGGTCCGGCCCGCCGTCGGTGAGCTGGGAGAGCGGGTGGTGACGCGCCCCGCTGTTCTTCCGCAGGCCACCCGCGGCCCAGGGATCCCCAGAGATGAAGTTTGGCTGCCTCTCCTTCAGGCAGCCTTATGCTGGCTTTGTCTTAAACGGAGTCAAGACCGTGGAGACGCGCTGGCGGCCCCTGCTGAGCAGCCACCGCAACTGCACCGTCGCCATCCACATAGCTCACAGGGACTGGGAGGACGACACCTGGCGGGAGCTGCTGGTGGACAGGCTGGGGATGACTCCCGCCCAGGTGCAGGCCCTGCTTCGGGAAGGGGAGAAGTTTGGCCGGGGAGTGATAGCTGGTAAGTGACCCCGGGCCAAGCGTGCGCAGACCGCTCCGAGCGCTGCCACCCAGGACCTTTCAGGGCGGTTTGGGGCCTTCTGGTGTCGTCTGATCTGGCTGGTGGGCTTGCTGCCGCTTCCCGACGCCACACACCTAAAGGGGCTGCCAGGGGCCCCGCGTGGCGGATCAGCGGGCTGAGATCCCCCCTCCCCAGTAAATCCGGTCTTCCCCCGGGTCTGTTTCCGTTTGCCATCGGAGAGCCTGGGTCAGGCCCGTGTGTGCCTGTGGGGTCAGCGTGTGTATGCATGCACCTGGGTGCATATGCCCATGCACGCGTGCACATGGAAGAGACCAGGCGTGGCAGCACAGCACCCCGAGAGGGTCAGGGGGCCTCTGGCGTCAGGCTGCCTGCCTGGTCTCGCAGGCCCGCCCCAGCCCCACCGCTCGCAGGCCCTGGGCGAGTCCCCCAGCCTCTGGGTGCTTGAGGTCCCACTTCAGCTGCTGTCACCTGGTGAACTGCTAAGGCGTCGCCTGTGGCTTCCCTGGCAGTGGCTGGGGTCCGTCCTTCCACTCCGTAACCGCTGCCCTCAGCAGTCTGCTGGGGCCCGCCCATGAGTCCATGTACCGCTTCTCTCCTGATCCTTGCTGGGGCCCTCCCCCGGCCTCATCCAGGATGCCCTGAGTAGAGCGCGGCTCGTCATCAGTGCTCAGCTAAGAGGACTTGACTCGCTTCCTGTCCTTCTGGTGATGTCATCTTCGTCGGTAGCGGTTGAGACTTTGAATGACCACGGCGCCACACAGGCAGCCCTTGGGGTATGGAAGGGAGCGACATCTGTGTGTTTCTCTCTTTGTGCACAGGGCTCGTTGACATTGGGGAAACTTTACAGTGCCCTGAAAACTTGAGTCCCGACGAGGTTGTGGACCTGGAGAATCAAGCCGTGCTGAGCGACCTGAAGCAGAAGTACCTGACCGCGATTTCCAACCCCAGGTGGTTACTGGAGCCCATACCTAGGAAAGGAGGAAAGGACGTATTCCAGGTAGACATCCCAGAGCACCTGATCCCTTTGGGGCGTGAGGTGTAACGAGTGTGGGCTCCTGAGAGGAACGTTGCTGAGAAGCCAGCTAAATCATGATACCTTCAACATCACTATTCAGACCTATATACGCTGGGCTAAGTCGGCATTGCCACCGCATGGGAGGGCGCCACCCCCTCGGTGCTGTTCACACATGCAGGTTTCCTCACTCAGATGAAGGGAATAAAGGTGGGACTTTCCCTGTGCCATGTGTCTTTGGGCTCATGGACAATGTCTCATGTACGTTGCCCTTTTGCTAAA